ACTCAAAATAAAGTTTCAAAAAGTTCAGCACAGTTAGGCTTCACTGATCTGTGAAATCATGTCTCTGAGGACTTGGAAAATTCACAGGAAAATATTGTCTTAATTATAAATATACAACAACAAATTTAATAGCCTAAATAGCCATTATAAAATCATCTCACAGTCTTTTTGTTATAGTTGTGAATGTCACCAAAATATTCCAGAGATATTATTACTGTTACCTTTGTTTATGATGCTGAAAATTATGATGTACTTTGATTATTGCACAATATAAATGGCAAGCCCCTGGGAACGTGAAATGTTTTCCTTTCCTTCCCACTCTCTTCGTCCCGCTCTTCTCCTCTCCCTTCTTATCCATAATTTTATTCTGCTCTCTTTAATAATCATAAAGGAATTAGAATTATATTTAAGTCATGGTTAAGTAAAATAGCAGATAGAACAACTGTTTCATAGTTTTTTACTAAGGTATTTGGAAACAAAAATATGGCTTGCATCATTTGTTGCACACACTTAACATTTTCATTTGAAAGCTTCTAAAACCAGGATGTGATTAATAATACACATTAAAGAAAACTTGCTAGCCATAGTCTTCTTTTGTTTTTGCAGAAAGTCTTTACTAACTATAGTTCTTTTTCAAACTGATACCATTTTAATATCAAAGAGACAACATTAACATTGCATTAAGTGAGATGAGCTGCACAAAAGCAAGTCCCTATGAGGAGAGTCAGAAGAGAGAACAATTTGGTTCAGAGCAGCTGAAGACAGACCATCTTGGGAATATAGACGATCTCTCATTCTATCTCCTACTGGCTTTGTTAAGTTGAGCAAACTATTTAAATTTTCTAAAAAGAAAGTAAGATACATATATGGCTGTTGAGCGGATTAAATGGGTTAATACTTGTAAATGCTTGGAATAGTGTTGGTAAGTAATGAATATAATATATTTGGTAGTCATTCTTCTTATTATTATTGTTAGGTTGTTGGCAAAACTCCTTCTTATCTTCTTTTAATTTGCACAGTCTTATAAAAATGTGAAGAAGGAAGTTATCAACTTTATTATTCAAATAATGGAGCTGCTTGATAAATGCAAAGACCAGCTCCAAAAGCCTTACACCAAAGTAAGCATTTGCCCCCAGTTTGCCGAAAATGACATTGTGTTTCCTTTACAAGAATAAAATTCAAAATAAATTAAGAAAACTCTAGAAATGTTGAAACCTTATTTTGAAGTTCAGCCTGTTTCTTCCAGCTACATTTGTAAGAAGTATGAAAAGAAGCTATAAACTAAATTTCTCAAGAAGCCTAACAATAATATGATTGTTTAGGATCAGACACAAATATATTGATAGAAAATGGGATATTTTTCTGTGCAATTAGAGAATTAGTTGAAATGAGATCACATCTGGGAATAAAGTGAAATTATAACTGTAGAGGAACTTGATTATGCCACTGAAACTTGATTGGATTTTCCACTCTAGAAACCTGGTGTAAAAAGTTGAAAAGAAACTCTAAAGAGCCAGTGCATTAAGAAAAGCTGTAACAGGGATTGTAAATTCAAGGGGATATTTTTCTTTTTCTTTTTCTTTTTTTGCAACAGGATCTCACTTTGTTCAGGCTGGCCTTGAACTCACTAAAGTAGCCCAAGCTGGGCTCAAACTCACAGTGATCCTCCTGCTTTAGCCTCTGGAGAGCTTGGATTACAGGCATGTGCCATTGCAGCCAGCCTCATTTTTAAAGAGAGAAGAGTATACATTCTTCAAAAAGTTCATTTTTAAGGTTTCAAAAATAAATTTTAAATTTCTATTAATACATATTTGCAGTACATAATGATTACATTCATTGTGGGCAGTTGGTATGTATACAGAACACATTTTTATTCTTTTTACTTCTGTTTTCCCCTCTTCTCTCCCCACTCCATCTCTAGATACTCTTTCCATTTTCAAAATATCTTGAAATAAAAGTTTATTTTTAAAATAATAATATGTTGGATCATGTTTCTATGAGTTGACAACAGTTGTGACTAGATTCTACAGAGGCATTCAGGCATTAGGTAATTCATTTACCTGTCTTGCTTTTTTTTATATTGTCTGTAATTGGTTAGCCCAAATAAGTTTGAGTGGTGATTGTAATAGTTAAGTAGTACCCTATGTAAAATTGGCAAAAAAATATAGTAGCTACTTTTTTTTAATAGTAGCTACTTTTTAAAGTCAAGACCTGTGAAACACTTCATATTCCAATGTAAATGTGTGTGTATCTGTAAATGTGTTTCTACACAGTCATTAATATATAGAAAGAGTGAAATTTTTACTTTGGATATGTTGTCTAAATACCTAATCATGAGTCTTGTTTCAGAAGGAATTGACTTTTCTGGCACCCAGAACATGACATAGATGATCATTAGCATCTATTACACTCAGACAAGCCTGTCAGGAAGTTATTTTATGAAGTCTGCATATCTGTTGTTGACATATAGGGACACTAAGTACTTTCTGGTTTATATATACCTAGCAGTAACACCTTCTTATGAGAATTCTTAAAGAATGTCTTGGGATCTTTAAGAATATGTGAAAAAACCATATGAAAGTAACATTGCCCAGACTCTATAGTGATAACTGCATATTGTTTAGAACACAGATTTATATGTACTGACCCGTCAAGGATATGTAGTAGAGTTTGTTTTCAGACTGTGGTTCTCTCTTGTTAGACTTAATGGTAGATAATATTCAACAAGTGTGATTGAGGGAATAGACCCAGCCTGAACTGGATTCACTTTCTGTCTCTTTGTTCCCATTTACTTAACATAAGGACATTTACCACGGCAACTTTTTCTTTTACCACAGAAATATTTTAATTATTAAATACTTTAATTAATTTATAAGAAAATCTTTGCTACATCCCAATATCAGTTTCAAAATGTTGGATGGCCACTGTTTGGCTGGCCTCAACAATACCAGCACACAACGCCTCAGCTCTTTGTATCTGAATCTTCTTGGCCAGCTGGGTTTTCTCTGACATAATCAGCATCCTGTGTCACAATGCTGATGATAATCCTATTTAAATATATTCTTTGGTCAGAAGAAGTCACTTTATATTTGAAGTTAGTATTAAAAGTCACCATGATTCTTCTTCTGTAATTATTAGTAAACATTTCCCCATGTCTAATAATTATGATTATGTCTGAAACATTTCATACTCAACATTATACTGGGGACAAGTTCTGAAATGTAGGAAATGAGAATAAGGTGTTTCTTTAATGAAAAAATAGTATTATCTATACTTAATTGTATCAGTAAATGCTGAGGTTTGGTTATACAGGTATAGCTAAGAATTTTCATAACTGCATTCACACTGGGATACATAAAGAGAAATTATTAAGTATATTAGTATTTAGTCCTCTCTTTGAAAATGACAGATGCTGAGTGGTTGAAATAACAGAAATTTATTTTCGCATAACCCTGGAGGTTGGAAGTCTGAGATCAAGGCATAGGCAGGGTCAATTTCTTCTGAGGCTGCTCTTCTTGATATAGTTGGCTTCTTGTCCCTGTCTTCATATTAACATTTCTCAGTAAAGTCTATGTCCAAATTTCCTTTTCTTATATGAATATTAGTCATATTAGACTAGAGCCTACCCTAATGATTTCAGTTTTGCTTGATTACCTGCTTTATAAAAATCTAGCTTCTAATATAGTTACATTCTAAAAGCTTTGGGGTTAAGAATTAACATGAGTTTTGTGGGAACACAGTAATTTTATGGGGAACACATCACATAATATTAAGATAGAATATTGACAGATTGGAGATATAGAAGAATCTGGTTGAAAGTTTATAAGTTCACTAAATATTAGCTCTTAACATTTTCATTTTGCATGTACAAACTACACTGTTGGTTTTCTATAGGTCTTCTGAGAATAAAGACCATTTCTATTGATCATAAGACTAAGTTCATTGTCTAGTAACTTTTCCATTGTGTTTGGCTAGGTCTCTGCACTTTCAGATAATTTATTACATTTTAAAACACAATGAAACTCTAGAATGTTCAATCATACAGAGAGTTCTAATAGTAACAGTTGGATGATGATACAGACTACCATTCAATTTGTTCTTGTGACACCTTTACCTCCAAGGTAAAAAATTCTATTAATAATATTTCCAAAGTGGTTGTTATTTCATCTGTATTAGTTATAGCAGACTCTGTCCAGGTTATAACTTTAAGCTATTAAAAAATATGTTGCTCCCTAGGAATTTATTAACATTATAATAGCCTTAAAAAACTTGTAGATCATTTTGAATCTGTTGAAATATTTATATATGCTAAGTGAGAGGAAAACTTAAGTGAATTAATTTTCTCCTGTTTATGAATGAGGTGTATTTTATTTAATAAAATTTAAATAAATGGGTAACAAAAATAGAAACTTCCTAATCCCCTTGGTAAGTGAACCAATTTTTCTGTATCTAGGGCTTCCTATGCCTTGGATAATGAAATGAAGAATAAGGAAATTAAGAAATATTAGTTGTCCTTTGTACTCCATATAGTAGATAAGGTCAAGAAAGGGTAGATCTAGTCTGATTAGGGAAAAGATATTACTTGAGGGCTGAGGATTTAGCTCAGTGTCACGGTGCCTGCCTTGAAGGCGCAAGGTCCTGAGTTTGATCCCTGGTACCAAAAAACACAAACAAAACAAAACAAAAAAGCTATTACTTGAAAGTTTTCTATGATTTCAAACATTCCAGTTATCCTCCAGCTATATAATTTTATTCTTGTTTTTATGGATTTTTTTAAATCTTAAAAGTTAAAGTTGTGATCCAAGAGAGTGATTTTGCTAATAAACAAACTGAAACACACTTTCATTACCTTAAAAGGTAAGAAAACACTTCCGAGAGCAAGCATAAAGGGCTCCGAATTACTGTGTGATGCCACAGCTCCACTGTGATGTCACCCAGTTGAACATACATATGTACAGCAATGTGAATTTTGGAAATTCTGCTCCATTCTTGGCCTTGCTTCCAATTCCTATCTCCAAGAAAAATAAAGGAGAGAATCAAAAGGATTTGTCTTCCCTCCAGCAATGAGTGATAGTTCTGGAGTTGTCTCTGCAAGGGGACCAAGTGTTAGCTTTGATCTTAGGCTACCACACTCTTAAAAAACAACATAGAGATAGGGAAAAGAAGATTGACCAACACTGACCTTCTGAATACTATGTCTATTCTTTAACCACAATTATGAGGTATGATGAAAAATGTGGTTAATGTTTAAATAAAAAAATAATTATTACAGTAAAAGACACATTGCCAGTAATTCTTTTCGAGATATTTTCCTTGATCCATACACATTTATCCTATTGTTCTTGTCACTTTCTGAAGCAGCTCTGGAAGTCCTTTTTTGTGAGCATGTTTTTGTTGCTACCTTGATGTCCTGGATTGATTCAAAACATTTACTTCTGCCAAATAAAAAAAAGTTATAGTGGTCATCATTCTCTTTGTTGACTGTGTTTGGCACCAGGAGATCTTGGCTCTTTCCCAGTGTCAAAATGATCATGAAAAGTAAACATTTTTAATGGATTCAGGACATTGAGGCAGTCATAACACCACAACTAAAGACATTCACAAAACAGGACTTGCACAATTGCTTGAGAAAGTGGCAAGAATGATGGGATAAGTATGTTTCAGGTAAGGTGGAGTGTTTTGAGGAAGATTAATGGTAGCATGTCTTTTAGTGTAATAAATTTTTAAAAATTTAAGCACACTATTTTTTGGTCATGTTTCTCTATGGTTAGAGAGAGAGATAGAGTGCTAACAGCTGCCACTGTCATCTAAGAGGTTGCTGACCCTTGTTATAAGGTGTAATTTTATTACACCTTATAACATTTACCACCACCTATAAAAATTGCAGAGTCTAAAGTATGCCGGAAAACCTCATGTCAATCCCTAAAAGCCTCTCATCCATATATGGCAAATAGAAAAATGAGGTCTTCACCTGTTCCATCATCCCTAGCCTCTTTATAATGGTACATAATTGCTTCCAATGTCTTATGCATACTTTTTAAATAGAAGAATTATAATGAATTGATTGGGTAGAAAACAACAAAGGAGAGTTCTTATTTTGTCTTGATATATCAAACACCAGATAGGGGAGTAAGTTTGGAAACTTTATAGGCCTTTAATTATACTTCTTGTTGAATTTTATTGTTAGACCTACACTTGGGTATTAAACATATCTTCATGACAAGCACTGTTAAAACATTTTACAAACTCAGTGATCAAATTTGTAAGAAATGTGGGAAGATAATTTATTCTTAAAGTAATAGAGGGCATAGAAAACTTTTCCATCATATCATTAAATGTCTTAATAACATTTAGAGCTCAACTTTAGACTGAAGCCATGAGCTGCCACAATTGCCCTGATGTCATAGACTTCAGAGGACAGTCTTCTTTCTCTGTCCTCCATCTGCATGGGTGGTGGCACCATCTGTCCAGGAATGTGCGACTCAATCACTCTTTGACCCATTTCTCCATGGCTCTTCTTCTTTTGTATGTGTGTGAGGATTCTGCATCTCTTTACCCCATGGTCACTATCTCTTTTAGCATCTTCATGTCTCATCTTTTCCGATCTTTTTGGTACCAGGGATCGAACTCAGGACCTTGTGCTTGCAAGGCAGGCGGTGGAACCACTGAGCTAAATCCCTGGCCCTTCGTCTCTCATCTTGATGATAGAACCATCTTTTGGCTGGATTTGCTATTGTCCCCTGCCTACAACTTTAGCCAGGTGAGTTTTCCTAATAAAATACAAATATAATCTTGGTTGAAAATATTTTATGTTTTCCTATCTGCTAAGGTTTAAGCCCAAAACCCTGAACATGATTTGTAAATTACTCCTTAATCTAATTCCACTTCTCTATTTGGCTTAAATTTATGAAATCTGTTCTGCTATACTTCACATCAGACTGAAATAACATTCCATGATCTTTCAGATTCTAGTCCTTATATACACTTTTCCTACATTTTCTACTTTGTTTTTATCCCTATCTATCCATTAATTATCACTTCTCCAGAGAATTTTCTCTCCATGCAGGTCAAGGTTTTGTGCAATTTTTATATGTATTCACTTTCTAGCTCAATCCAACATTTTATTTTAATTGTCACTTTTTCTGTTTCACTCTATTGTACTACTATTTAGAGTAGAGGCTGTATCTCTTATTCATTGTTTTATACACAATGTATAGCACATACTTTACATTTAAATATTTGAATTAATGATTGAGTAGAACATAGGGATGTTGGAGTTTTTTTCCATAGTAGTAATCTGCTTATGTTGATGTAACATCATGAATACATAATTATGAATATGTGTGTAGCAATATCAGTGCCTAAATTATGGCTCTGCCCTACCGATTTTTGCTTTTTCTACTCTGAAACTATAGAAATGATAAATAGATGAAGAATCACAGTGGGCATATCAAAATCCACTTGTTTACAGCCCTATCAGTTCTCTTTTTACTACTGGTTAAAATTTTTAAAATGATATTCCAATTTTAAAATTTAAATTTGATGCAGGTTTTTATTTTTCTCAAATACACAACTATACAAATAATACATTAGCTATATAAAAGTCGTTTTCAGTTATGTACCATTTTATGTCTGACAGTGTCTCAAGTTGCTATGAAAGCAGGAGCCTTTTTATTTGTAGTTAGTTAAGACTGACTCAAGTAGACAGCAATACTGAGCTATCACTGTTTTGTGATCGGTAGCTGCTTACAATGTTGTATGTTGATATTTTTGTTCCATCCATCCAAGAACAGTTACTGCTACAAAGTGGGCAAATATCTTTACTGTTTCAGGAAAGGAGCCAAATTGTAAATGGTTTAGGAAAAGGCCATGGATCCAAAGGGGTTTTACCTTAGGGATGCATGACATTGGAGAAGGGGAAAAGTATGTGAAGTCAGTAGATCTGTTTTGATGTCCTAACCCTGTGAATAATTAGGTATGTGGCTTAATTTCCATTTCTGATTTCCATTTCTGTGGCTTCTGCAATAGTGGCATCTAATATAAGGATCAGCACAGGAGTTCCATGTTTAGTAATGGGACATTTGCTTCTGTTATTTAGGTCACAATGTTGAAAATCTGCTTGATAACCAAAACCCCTAGGAGCTCTGTAAAATGCTAGTTTCAGTCCCTATTTTATTTTTTATTTTCATTTATTTATTTTCACTAGTGCATATTTAAAAAATATATTAATTGGTACATTTTAGGTATACAGTATATTTACATTTATTGTTGGGTGTTTGTACCTGAACGTGATGTATCTTAGTTCTTATTTTTTCCCCCATTACCTATGCACCCTTCACCCCCACCACCCTTCCCTATTTACATAGACTTTATTTCCATTTTTTTTCTTTCTCATAATTTTTCCTTTCCTTTCTTCCATTTCCCCTTCCCCTCCCACCACCCCTACCCTTTTGGACCTTTTCCTATTTAAAATTATCAATTATTCATTTTAATCATTTTCATCCTTATTTACACTTCCAGTTTCTCACACTAGAGATACTATGCGGTATTTACATGTGTGTCCTATTTATTTCACTTAAGAGTATGGCCTCAATATGCATCCATTTATCTATAAATGACTCTAGTTTCTCATTCTTTATGGCTGAGTAGTACTCCAATATCTAGGAATCAACCTAACAAAGGAAGCAAAAGACCTCTGCACTGAAAACTACAGCACTCTGAAGAAGGAGATCGAAGAGGATATAAGAAAATGGAAAGATATCCCTTGTTCCTGGGTAGGAAGAATTAATTTAGTGAAAATGGCCATACTTCCAGTCCCCATTTTAAAGGGACTAATTTATTCAATCACTGTGGGACCTTGGAATGTGTATTTTAAAAATGTTCCCAGAGACTAACCAGAACTTATGATATAAATTTAGCTCAAACCACAGTGACATAGGTAAAAACTGTAACATTTGTTTAATGGCAATTCGGAGCTTTGAAATTATTTACTTTTTATTCTAAGGTAAGTTATGTGAGTTACAGAAAATTTAGAAAATATAATAGTGAAACAAAATCTTAAACTATTTCATAACACCACTGCCTAGAGCTGAGATGTATTAATACTTTTTGCATGTGTATTTTAGCTTCTTTTGGCAAATATGTATATGTGTTTGCGCATATGTACACACATATATACAAATCTATATTCACATCTAAATTTATAATACAATTTTCCATTTAATTGTGTATGGCACCTTCTATATTTTTATTTAAATATTTAATTTAAATTCAAATATAAATATTTTCCATATCATTCTTTGCAAATAAAATTTTATTAATTGATTTTATCCTATATGAATGAATGAATGAAATGAATGAAAAATGTAAATGAAAAGCTAAATCTAATCATTTGCTTTTTTTTTTTTACAATAACAAACAATTTTACAATAACAAACAATTAGACTGCAATAAATATTCTAATCTGTAAAGGTCAGTTTGCATGTTTTAACATATCCTCAGTACAGAACCCTAGCTAAGAATTACTAGCTAAGACTACACTAAATGGAAGTGATCATATGAGATGTAGTTAAAGACTTAGCTTAGGTTGACATTGTCATGAAGTTAAGAAAGAAAGAAGTTAAGAAAGAAAAGAATTTATTGGCCCAAGGTTGTGTAGGTTAGTAATTTAAGTTACTAATTGGGTTTTAAACGTTTTCTATCCCAAAGAAGAACACATTGCTGCTGCTGCTGCTTCTAGGAAGTTCTCTCTGTCTCTCCTCATGTATATCATACATATGTACATAAAATCATGTTTGTGTACACACACATGCAAATATATATGTTGTGTCCTATATGCTAAAATTTAAAATGGGAAACACCCACTGAAACTTAATGTATGTTAATGGTGTCTTATTTTAATAGATCTATAGAAGAAGCAATTAGATAGAATTATGGCATTCAAAGGAGGATAAATTCTATGAATTTATGTGACTTACCTAAGGGCAATCTGTTCATTTCTGCTAGGTTGGAATTCAAGTCTCCTTATCCTTAGTCTAGTGCCGTAACGTCCTAGCATAATGACCTTTCTTCAGCGATTCTGCCCAAAGAAGCACGGTGGGTGTAGCGGCAATTTGCAAGATGAAATATAATCAAGCCATGAGAAAATAATGGCTGCCAGTACATGCTGACCTGGTCTGAATTCAAACAAGTGATACCAGTGATAAACCCTGGTCTCTCATTTACAATAGTCTATCAAAAGGAATTTGAAACAGTTTTAATATTTGCAGTAGCTCATACTTTAGAAATACAGTATCACAGGTATATTATCTGTATGTCTTAAAAGATTTGTGGCCAGATTATAAAATTATACTCCTGTTTTCTTCTAAAATCCTGTTTAACCTTAAATATCTTACTTGAGACACAGTGGTTTTATTCTATCTTTCCTATGTTTTTATCTTTCTTTACTGAGCAAGATGCCCAGGCCTGCTCCTCTTGTCACTTATGAGATTTTGGGTTCCACTAACTCCATGTGCTTACATCAAAGAGTGACAAAGGCAGGAGGTTCTGCTAACTTTCAAAAATGCCAAATTCATTGGAACACTGTTTTTTTTCTGGATCAAATCCATTTTCTCATGTATTCTCCCTAGCTTGGAGCAAACAATCATTGCCTCCTTCTCAATGTAGTGAAAAAATGAAAAATATCCAGCATTTATGGTCTTAAAACTGAACAGGAATTTAACATTTTTTCTCATCCTTGCAATTTCACCATGCCATCAATCTAATTCAAACTTCTCAATATGTTTTAGTTTTTAACACTTTTTTCAAAAACTTTTATGATCAGTGCCTGTAAATGACTTGAAGTATTCAGTGCAGCTTAACACGAACAATATCTTTTTTGTTACGAATGATATATTTTTGTATATTATGTGATTAAGTAATCTATTATAAGCCTCCAGCCCACTTTTCCAGAGAAAATCAAATACTTGGAAAAATACATTAAAATTTTCAGGGCTGATGAAGTAACCACTTAACTTAGGAAATGAGCACTATATTCAATAAAATTATAATGAGCAAGTACCTAAATATATCCCTTAGCAATATCCCCCATGGAATGACTTTGATGAAAATAAAATCTTAATATTTACTAATATGTATTTTTACAAAGTAACATTTCTATAAACCTGAGTGTTTAAATACAAGTGATGCATGCTAGTGTATGCAGCCACTGTCTTGTGTAAGGTACTATCAGTTCTCAGGTTTGCCTCTTCAAACTCTGTACACTTTCTTCTCTTCAAACTTTGCTAACTGTGGATTCACTCACTCTTTCATTCACTGCCCATGCCCTGGCTACCCTGCTGAGTTTTATTTATACTTTGTGTTTTAGCTTTAATCATTCTCTGCCCTGCCACTCACTGACACTGAAGGATGGTTGCCCCTTTGATGTGCTCCGCAGTATTCATATGTAGCACTTACCATATTATTATTATTGCCTATTACATTGTGGTCAGTGATAGGATTTATAGCATATGAAAAAGTTTACCATTATCTAAACTAAAACCTAAGCTTCATAAATACAGGGACGTAGTAGTTTATACACTGTTCATCTTAGTGCCAAGCACAGTGAGCATCATATAGGGAGACTCAATTATATATATTGAGTATGTGTGCATACATACATATTCTTCACAGGACAAACCTTGACAGCATACCAATTTTGTGATATAAAGATGAATTCATTGAATTTGAAAGTATTTTCTAAATAGTGTACTTTTAAAAGGA